TTATCGTGATCGAATTCCTGGGATTGGGAGCGCCCCCCAGACGCATGTAAGTACAGAGGAAAAACAAGACAGAGACGTTAGGTCTCCTTTTAGCATTCAAAAGACAAATCACACTGTGTTTACCAGTATTGTCTGAATGGGCGCAGGATGGGAACAAAACTTCAGCCACGGTTTGCACCTCAGTTGATCCATGCGCCTCCTCTAACCACAACCCCCCACACTTTTGCCTATTTATAGCTCTTTACTTCATTTCACACATACCTTTAAGGTTTGCGACCAATTCTTCCAAGCTCCCTGTCATGCACGAACAATGCCAAGCCTTTAGCTCATGGGGACAGCCCTATTTTTAATCGCCTGCACAGCGAAGGATGGCTTCTAAAGGACGGAAAAAAACAGGACCTGCGGTCTTGCTCAAGCCAGGCCTGAAATAGGCGTCAGGAGTTTTGAGATGTATGTATTTATTTACTCCAATCACGGCATGAGGGAAGAGCAGCTTCATATGGAAAGCATGTCGTGAATCTAGTATGGTGACAACGGGGTGCTGGTGGGCACAGGCCAGGTGCTAAACGGGCTTTGAGAGACAAGCTTTGATCAATGTCATGTACGCTTCCGTGTTAAGGACAAACAATTGGCACATATTAGACTACCGACCAGACGGCACCGTGCTCACCAGGAGCAGGAGGATTCAAATTCAATTCAAACACAATAGACTTCAACAGGGACAGCCTACGCTAGCAATTTCAGGAAGCAGGGTAAAGAAATGATTTTGAAAAGCAGTGCCGAGGGAATAAGGGGAAAAAAACTAAATAAACAATGCTACTGAATACAGCTACTTGAAGGTCATGAACAGTGAACAATGAACAAAACTGGAAATTCACCTGTAGATACAGGTACTATCAAGTATTTTGTTAAGTTTCAAGAAGCCACAGAAATAAATTAGGTAACTTTATTTTGATAGGTCACTGTAGAGGCTCGCTTAAATTTAGCCTTTTCCCAGTGTTAAATCTAGAACCTCAATCCAAACTCAATATAACCCTAACCCTAAATGTAGACCTCACACAGATGATAACCAGTTGAGTTTCACCAGATAGTTTGTTAATCTCTTAAACTCCAGTAGAAATGTATGTAGAACAGCATATGCTAAATCTAGAACCTCAACATAACCCTAACCCTAAACGTAACCCTGATACAGATGATTATCAACTAAGTTCCACCAGAGAGTTTGTTAATCTCAAACTCCAGTAGAAATGTATGTAGAACAGCATATTAAAGGGCATTCTGGCCTAAAACGAGCAAATAATATGCTAAATCTAGAACCTCAACCCAACCTCAAAATAACCCTGACCCCAAATGTAACCCAGATACAGATGATCATCAATTGAGTTTCACCAGATAGTTTGTTAATGTCTTAAACCCCAGTAGAAATGTATGCAGGACAGCACATTAAAGGGCATTCTGGCCTAAAACGAGCAAATAAATGTTATTTGCTCTGCACCGCTTAGCCTCAGCCAGATTTGACAGAATGGTTTTGTACTATTTTCATGTTCTCTCACAACAATACCAACCATGCATTACGCAAATACAACTCATTAATACTGGAAATCCTTGTGGGACAAATCCTGACTGCTAGCCACTGATCTATAAGCTAGTAAATACCTCTGTGGTGCTAGACAGCATTAGCACTAACCCTCAAATGTCATCAAACTTTATGTTAAACAACCATAACTTCAAAACCGCCCCTCATTTTCCACACTAAATTACTTGTAGTCTTTCAGAATTAATTCCTATCTTCAAAACACATCAATCGAAGATTATCCTAATTTTTAAACAAGATAATTTTACTTTAGAGACGACTGCAGCACAGCTGTAAGGGGTGAGTAGGTTTTGCAAATTAGATTCTCAGCAGTTACTGAATAATTTACAGCATTTACTGCATAAGTCTTAGGACAAACAACTGCCTAAAAAGACTAGAATTTAAAGAATTAATGGCTTAGGTATTTGTAGATAAGCTATAGAGGAACACCAAAATAAAGCGTGCCCACGAACTGTTGTCCCGCAGCACAGCACACTCCGATGCGGAGAGATATTACTGCCTTATCAGCAGGAACCTAGATAGACGACATGAGCAATGGCAATTGCAGTGCTTTTATTAGGCACAGTGATTGATAGCAATACACGCTGGTACCCTTCACAAACAGAGGGGGGAAACAATGAGGATCACATTGCAGATAAACAGCGGAGTGTTCTCCATGTGAAAATCTCAGGCGCTACAAGTACTGGAACAGCCCGGCAGTTACACAGACAAATTCCACCCAGGTTATAGTCATCAGTCATCAGGCGCTGCTTTGCCTCAGCCACTCTGACAATGGATGTCATAACAACTCTATGCAGTGCACCTGGCCCTCTGTGATCTGTTTTCCATGGTTGCTAAAGCAGAGCGGCTTCGGCCTTAACAAAATCATAAGGAGGATGAACAGCAGGCTGGAGGAAGTGTTTTTAAGTCTAGATTAATGACCCTGTCTCTTCCTCTGCTTTACTGCAACATAGCTGCCCTTGATCCCTTCTGCCTGCAGTCTCTATTACAAAGATCCCATATGATGGAAAATAGAATTTTCCTCTTGTTCTTTAATGATGTAGTTTGTAAACATTGCTAAACTTTCAAAATGGACTGTTTCGTCACCGGTCCAAAAGGTGCATGGAAATTAAGCTGCAAAACAGCCCATTATGAAACCATCACATTTACTCATATCCATATCTACGGTAAATTAGACGCGCCCAATCACAAAGAAGTTATAAGAAATGTTTAAGCCCAGACTGGTTTTTGCATTTTGAATGAAGAAGTACAATACAGGGCAGCCAATCAGCCAATGTATATACAAAATCTGATTATGCAGAGTGATTCAAAAAGATTCATACGATTTCAAAATTATTCATTTCACTTGTTAATCATTACAGAACAATGCAGTAAATTGTAAAACTGTATAAAGTTTATTATGTAATTTTACAAGTGCTCAATATGAACCTCCTCCAGCTGTACAGACAACATCAACACCATAGTCAAATTCATCCCATACTCGATTGAGCATGTGGGGTGTCACTGTACTCACAGCTCTTTCAGTGCGATTTTGGAGATCATCCAGTGTTGTGGAATCAAAAGACTCATTGCCAGTTATCGCATACGCCTGATTTCAGTTGTTGCTGCTAAAGGTGGCCTAACCAGTTATTAGGTTTAGGGGCAATCACTTTTTCACACAGGGCCCTGTAGGTTTGGATTTCTTTTTCCCTTAATAATAAAGATCTTCATTTATAAACAGCATTTTGTGTTTACTTGTGTTATCTTTGTCTAATATTTAAATTTGTTTGGTGATCTGAAACATTTAAGTGTGAAAAACATGCAAAAGAATAAGAAGCAGGAAGGGGGCAAACACTTTTTCACACCACTGTATGTATGTGGAGCATTGTTCATGTATATAATGAGAAATGCTCTGTTACAGAAATACTGGTAGTCTGGATGTCCACAACACAAATATAGTCATTTTATTTACTACTCAAAACCACCAGTGAACAGAAACATGCCTTCCTTATTTGTAATATTGATTATGGAAATATAGTGGTAAATCTGAAAAAACATCTTCAAGTAATGTTTTGTCTTACAACTCCCTGTATGCACCTCTCTGCTATTAACGCATATTACACATCACATTTTAGGGCCAAACCTTCTCTCAAAATGAACATAAAACATTGTCTCAGGCATCAGGCAAAGTATTCTTAATTTAATGTAATAACTTTCTGTGAGTGAAAGCGGCATCAAAATCAGAGGCATTAAACTCTTCAGATGGACGTCTGGTTCCTATCACCACCACTGTCAACAAATAATTCTGTCCTGATAAGTTTCTCAAGAACAGAACATTTCACATCAACCCACTCTGAATGCCTTTGTTTACGTCATAACAACTGAATCATACAGGGGGAAAAAGAATCCCCCTTTGAAGGCAGAGGAACAAAAGCAGCCAGTTTAGTTCTAAAAGATAAAGAGAAACTAGATGGTGATGTAAAAATCAGCAACTGTTTTTGGTACATAAACGCACATGAACATCATATGCGGACCTTGAGGAACCTTTGACATCATACCCAAGTTTTGCAGACGGGCAGCGTGCAGGACGTGACAGCAGCTGAGTGAGCACAGGCAACAGGGTCTGCTCACTGAGCTACATTGGAAACAGTAGGTGTTTAAGGGCAGCACAGGAAACAAGCAAGGGAATCTGAGACTTTATGACGTTGGCATAACAAGGACCACGTACTTTAACAACCATTTCTGTAAACATGCCATATTTAGCCAAGAGGCTCATTTTCGCCTGCACTCCAACATCTGTTGTCCCTAATAGCTGCTGCTGTAAGTGTCTAAAAATGACCTGATGCATGCCAACAGGGATTACAGAGTCACAGCTCAGCAGCTTTTAATAAGAATCAGATGCTGATTAAACAGTTGCTCTAAGGCCAAGCGGACACTACATGACATTTATTACTTGCAATCATGTGGATACGCAGTGGTGCGGACACTACACCACACCATCCAGTGCAGACAAGTCTCCCAAACTACACCATCTTTCATCTGGAGAGAACCGTGACAGATTCCCCAACCCCGCTGTCTTATGAGAATAAACTTGAGAAAAGGCTATACACATGACTGTGCCAAAATAGAGCCTGAGCAACAGGCCATTATAGTCGTTTCTGCACTCGTTTGCAATGTCTCTCCACCTCCTCTCTTTTTCAATCAACAGCGATATCTTTATAAGCATCAAACAAGCATTTGTGCACTTAAAGCATATTAATGATTATAATGTCACACAGCACTTTAATTTTAAGTAAATGATGACACAACTTTTCCATAATCAATGCCTATAAGAACTAACTGACTAACTAGAAGAAGACCTTTCAATCGTCACCATAGCGTGCACTCACTATTTCCCTTACCCTTTGTCCCATGTCTCTTGGCTTACCTTTGTATTCTGGGGTGAACTCCTTCATCTCAGGGGGCAGCGACTCGTAGAAGCGCTGCTCTCGGCTGATGAGCGGCTTGCAGACGGTGTGGTCATCGTAGCGCATCATGCTGGTGTGGCCGCCAACCTGGTGGACGAACGGCTCCAGCGGCACGCCGCCACGGCTGCCCTGGCCCTGGCCCTGGCCTGTGCTGTGCTTGCCCGCCTCCATGGTATGCGGGACGCACATGGCGTTGGGGGAACGCGTGGCGCCGGGTGCATGGGCTCGGGCGCGCAGGCCGGGCGAGCGCGGGGTGCAGGGTGGCGGCTGGGAGCGCACGCTGCCGCCGGGAGGGGGAGGAGCCAGCCCGCCACCGGCCACGCCCACCAGCCAGCCAAACGATCCCGGCCCAGAGAGTGCTGGGACACGCCCCTACAGCTGCCTCCTGGAGGAACAGGGAGGGAGGGGTGGAGCGTTGGAGTTAATGAAAAACAAACGGCATCACAGATGTTACACAAATGACTTTCTGAAAAATAATAAATACACATGTATAATATTTATATGCACATTCATCCCATTAATGGCTGACTCAAGTTGTATCATATTTTGGCATAAATAATCTGCAATTTATCCGCACATTTGTTAATATAAGTGGTTTGACTGTTGCAAATACTGAATTCCGCACAACCTTTAGCTCTTCTAATATAAGCTTATGGGAGAAGGACGAAAAAAAATGTAAAATCTGTCAATGTAATGTCAAAAAATTGAAAAAGCTTTTTCTATTGGTCTATTCATCATGAAACATGCTCACAATGTAAATGGCAGTTGCTATGTATGTACGTACGTATGTTTCCATCAATCTATGTCTATGTATCTATCTCTATCTATGAATGAGTAACCACAACTTACTGACAATTACGACAGATGTCCTAAGATTCAGCAAACAAACTCGAGCCAGCAAAGCAAACACAAGAGACAGCCTACACAAACAAAGTACTTGACGCATATGCGCATGCCAAAAAGCCGCTCTGGCAGACAGCAGGCATCAGGCCACTCACTATCTACTGATCTCCGTGCCAGAGGGACCAGATCCTTTATTACATCAGCCTGCTTCTCATCAATAGCACAGGCCAACCACCGACCTCTGATATGTGGCACTAGAGTATCATAACACCGTTCCAGATCCAGTCAGGACATCCTCTCACTGGGGCCTAAAATTTAATCCTCACTAGCCAGGCGATCTACATGTGCAAGTTTCATCATTGGTTATAAAAAGATCTGGAGACATTACAAGAGCACAGTAAATGGAAAAAAAACTCCTTGTAGTCTTGGCACAAACTTAGCTTGGTGGAATGGACGGTGTGTCTAATGTCCTAAAAAGGCCAGCGCAAACGGCCACGTAATTCACTCCTGCATGAAGGCAGTGGTGAGTTCCTTAATTGACTGCACTGATCTGGCCATACACAGAATTTCATTCCAGGCATTTCCAATTAAGCTGCAGCACTGGTCTATGTGCGTGCGAGAGGGAGCCTGACATGGCGCAAAACATGCTCTCATATCCACAAGCCTGGGGAATACTCTGGGGCCTCTCACACCTGCCTTAACCATTCCATATGACACTCAGTTTTATGGGTGGGCAATAAGACAGCGCTATCATTTTTATAATAAATCACATTATAGCATTTCCTTAGCTCAGCACAAGCATTGTCAGTATTTCTAAAACTGGCAAGTTGACCTACACATGCTACACCCACAAATACATTATTTCACAGCAACAGTTGCTAGGATGAATAAGCTTTACAGAATGATGACTGATTCATGAGAAACTCTGCTTGAAGTCACTACATAAATGTTGAGATTGATTGGATATATATATATATATATATATCTATATATATATATATCTATATATATATATATATACACACACACACACACACACACACCCCGATCAGGCATAACATTATGACCACCTCCTTGTTTCTGCGCTCATTGTCCATTTTATCAGCTCCACTTACTATATAGGTGCACTTTGTAGTTCTACAGTTACAGACTGTAGTCCATCTGTTTCTCTGTTTACTTTATTAGCCCCCTTTTACCCTGTTCTTCAGTGGTCAGGACCCCAATGGACCCTCACAGAGCAGGAACAATTTGGGTGGTGGATCATTCTCAGTACTGCAGTAACATTGACATGGTGGTGTGTTAGTGTGTGTTGTGCTGGTCTGAGTGGATCAGACACAGTAGTGCTGCTGGAGTGCTGCTGAGAATGATCCACCACCCAAATAGTACCTGCTCTGTGAGGGTCCATATATATATTACACATACATATATATATATACAGAGTGATGTGTGTATCACACACACCGCAATACTACATGTTTACCATAATCACCCACCCCAACCCACTCTACTGGAAATCCTCATTCCTCCTGAAAACAGCATTCAACACATGCCCTTTTCAATCAGACAGCTTTTCATTTCACATATTTCCCCAGATGAATGAAAAGAAAACACCGTAGCTTCATTATTCATCATAGTTTCAAGATTAGCCCAGTGGAAAAAAGTTTCTCCTCTCTAAAAGCCTCTCTTTAGCCAGGGTAAACTGTGGACTGCACAGAGGCCAGTGAATGGAATGAATGATGCTTGGCTGTAATCTCCTGAGCCAATTGGAGCTATGGATTTAACCCCACAGGAGCTCACCAGGCTCCTTGAGACAGGTCAATGTGTGATGGACAAGGATAACAATCACCTGAACAAAGCCAAGTTGACAAGTTGCCTCGACTGAGCTGCAGAGACGCACTAGATTACTGACCTTGACGAGCTCGTCCACCTGCAGCATTAGAAATAATGTCTGATCAATACTATTAACACTTGGATCAAGAAACAGACAAAACTACTGAAGCACTGATTATAAAACAGACATGTGTACAGGTGTGCCTGCTGTAACTAGAAAATGCTGTAACTTACTCAAATGAATGCTAAACAAATAACCCAATTCCAGCCTAATAACGAATAAGGAAGCCCAACAAGATCACAATTAATGCATTCCATTCATTATCAATTATACAACATAAGTTCACAGAAATCTAAGTATCTAATTGCACTATTTAAACTTCCCTACAAGCAGACAGGTTGAAAGGCCCATTTTTGCATCTCACTAAACCCATAAATTCAACACAATATACAAAATAAGACAAATATGGCAGAGTTTACAATACTACATTTGTGAAAAAGAGCATCTGGCAGACAATGTTGAACACAAGGAGAATCCAACCTCTTCCAAACGTCTAAGAGTCTGTGTTTAGAAACTGTCTGGATTCCATTCTGCTAATGGCCCAATTCAATAGGAGCTCTGAATGGAAGTGATTTCCTAGTATTGTTGCAGGTCAGCTGTCCTGGCTAATTTTCCTGAGTGATGGTGAATACAAGAAACAAATCTACTGCTATCGTGCATCTTGCAATGTAACTGAACTCAAAGAAGTCAAAAATAAGGTAGAAAGATTAAAAAGGCACTTTGTAATCAAGTGAATAATTCAAGTATTTCATAACTTCTACACATGATTTCTTTTTTAAGAAATAAAAACCATAAATGCCATTATCTGGGTCATTTAACACAATTTAGAGGCAGTATTTAAGTAAAAAGTTAATAACAGAATTATATTTCTTAGCCTCATTAGTTTGACAGAATTCAGGACTTTTTCAGGAAGTTTTCATTCATCAATGTTCTTTCACTATAATCTACAGCATAAACTACACAAATGCTTCATACAACCACTGGAAATCCTAGTGGTGCGACACCAATCCCAGCACTTGTGTACCTCTTAGCCCAGTCGTTAAACAAGATCAGAAAAACAGTGATTTCATTGCTATTCAGCGCAAAATGAATGAACGAGACAAAGCTTTTTACCCTTTCAGTCAGAGAAAACAATCCAAAGGTAAGAAATCTAATTAGTCCGGTAGCTACATTGCTATCTTTTGCTATCAGCTCGTTGTCCTCCTCATCTAAAGTGCAATTTCAACTCTCTCTAGAGTAATCAAAATTTAACCACTTTTAATACAGCTGCAATAAAATATTCAGCTTTCTAGCATAAATGTTAGCTTCTTGGCGTTCTTCTGAATCCAATGAATCAATGTATGAATGACTAAATGAATTAATGCACACACAACAAAAAAAACATACAAAAAACACAATTAAAAACAGACCACCTCCAAAAATTAACCCCAAAGCAATTGTAGTTGCATCACAAGGGGTCCTTCCTAGTCTTTAAACCAGAAAATCTAACTCTAGACCAGGGGTGTCAAAATCAACCAGTAAAAGGGCCATTTTTAAAAAAATCATCAAATCTGCGGGCCAGAAAAAAAAATGTTTTTAATTTCTTTTTAAATTAAATGTGCTATAACCCGAACTGGCCATTGTTTATTCAAAATATACAAAAAACTTCAACAGTAAAATACAGACACTTGTAGTAGACCTTTAAATATTACATGGACAATTTAGTCTTTTTATCTGCTTGAACTAAACTCTTGGCATCCTTTCTTTGCTGCAAGTTCATCAAAACTGGGGCTCAGTTTCCGAGCTGTTGAGCTATTCTTCAGTGTTTATATTGGTTGAACTGCAGCTGAAATGCATTTTGGGATTGCGCAGAGTTATGTAGAATTGAGGTGTAACCGCTTCCCATAGACTGTTGTTGGGGTAGGAGAGTCAGAGCACATTACGTTGCAGTGCATGCTGGGGACTGTAGTGCAGCACATTGTGAAACGAGTCAATATTAATAGAAAATTAAAATACTTTTGCAGGTCGGATAGGATTGTGTGGCGGGCCTGATCCTGAGTTTGACGCAGGGGCTCTAGACACTGCTGCAGCACTGCAAAGCAGGTTTTATGGGTGCAGTACAATGATTTGAGAAAGCATGTCTTTGGCTTTTAGCTTCTTGTATGTGTATAAAGTGTTCATCCTTTACATTGTCATAGAAGGGCTGCACAATCCATCTGAGCCAACACAAAACAGCAGCTGCACAAAGTTAATACCATCCTACACAATGAAGGTTGTAAAAACAGCCAGACACAGCGTTCCTCCTCCGCACAGTCACACACTTCAAGACCCTGCCAAGGTTATACAGCACAGTGCAATCTAATTGGCACAGTACTCAAATAAAATTGAACTGAATAGCTGTAACAGGAGAAAGGTGACTTTCACGCTAATCAAAATTCCTAGCGTGGTTTAGCCAGCTCTACCTAAAAGAAAGTCA